CATTCTATCGAGGTGTCACCAACACAAGTGTGATTCTATAGTGAGTGACCTTATCAAAGTCACCTTGTTAGAGTGTGTTGTGTGTCGAAATGTTCCATGAATGTAAGATTGACATGTGTTGTGGAGAGTGAGCGCGTGCTAAGTGTATGCCGAACACACGTTGTTTAAACTTGGCCAAGTATGAGTTGATTGCCCTGCTGTATCTACAGTGTATGTATTTGGTTGTATTGCACTAGCTTTTAAATGTCAGTACTTAAATAGAAAAAAAAACAAGACCGTTTTATAATATTTCGAATTATTTTCATTGTATTAAATTAATGTATATATAGAAACTAGAGTATAGTGCTCGATGTTAATGTAAAATAATGGGGTTTGTGCTACTATCTTATGATCAGCACAATAGTTTTTTATCTCTTATTTTCAGGTGATAATAGACAGGCACCCAGTTCGATTCTTCGTACATAAGAGGCCACATGTAGACTTCTTCTTAGAAATAGTAAGTACCGAAGCACGTAGACAGAGCCACTGGTTGTCTGTGACTGTTGTTGTCGACATGTGGTCGCAACTAATGATATTACGACTATGAAATTAAATTGTTCGATCCTACAATCTCCCGATCTTCACTGATGTCCTCCCGATAGATGCTTGTCTCATCCATACTAGAAATGGGATCGGTATGTCGTCCGATCCCCTGGTAACCATAGTGCCGATAATTCCGGGCTGCCGATGATTCCGGGCTGCAGATAATTTTGAGCTGCCGATAATTCCGGGCTGTCGATAACCGACTGCTGATAATTCCGGGCTGTCGATAACCGACTGCTGATAATTCCGGACTGCCGATATAATTCCGGACCGCCGATAATTCCGGGCCGCCGATAATTCCGGGCTACCAATATTTCTGGACCGCCGATAATTCCGGGCTGCCGATAACTCCGGACCGCCGATAACCGACTGCTGCTGATTCCGGGCGCGATCGCAATAGGCTAATCGCCTACGTGTTTGTGTTTGTGTTCAGGTGAGTCAGTGGTACGACCTCGTCATCTTCACGGCAAGCATGGAGATCTACGGCGCGGCGGTCACTGACAAGCTGGACAACAAGCGTGGCATTCTGCGGAGAAGATACTACAGACAGGTGAGCGCATCGTCATCGTCGTCGTTCGACGCCCGCGACATCTACGCGTCGTCGTCGTTCGACGCTCGCGACATCTACGCGTCGTCGTCGCTCGACGATGTTTGCAGCATCTGTTCGTTGTGCGTGTGGCGCGACGAGGCGCGTGCAGCGTTGACAATGGTTGCTTACATTTGTTGTGCGTAGACTCATGCATAATGCTAGAAGCGAATGAAAACTAATTTTTTTTTTTAATAATTTTTTACTCCTGATGGTACGAGAGTGCAGGTGTTTGTCTTTGTGCGTAGGTGGGCGTGCGCGAGGCTTACACTCGGTGTTAAATAATTTAATATCAATTGAGTATTTAATGTGGCCGTGAATCTCTTCATGGAATTACAGTCTGTCTGATACTCAGTAGCATGTCTAATCATCGTTATGCTCACAGAAGTCGCCATCGTCCTAATGATGTGGTTGATTTACGTAGTTACTACAGCCATCGCTGGCCGATGTCTATTTTCAGCATTGCACGCTAGAGTTTGGAAGCTACACTAAAGACTTGTCTGCGCTTCACGGCGACCTATCCAGTATATTTATACTTGACAACTCGCCTGCTGCTTATAGATCATTTCCAGGTGAGTACTGCCACCTACACCACGTTTTCTTCGTACAGAATATCTAGATCAGTAGCATAGACATCAGTTTAATTGCATATATAATATATGTGTTTGTGCATGTGTGTATTTATTTGTGTGTTTGTTTGTTTGTTTGTTTATATATTTATATAGTTAAAAAGGAGTGAGCTAGATCCTGAGTAACCTGTAATCATGTTTACCTGTGGGGAAAGTTGTTGTGCTCAGTGGTCTTCGGCGTAAACATAAAAAAAAAACAAGAAAAAATATCCATTCTAACTAGACAATGTAATCAAATATAATCACCTAAAATGAAAGAATAAAATATAATCTATTTCATTATATTCCGAGGAGGAGACATCATTATGTCTGTAGCAGGTCGCATGTTCCTGATTGTAAATACGGTGGTGTACTTTTTTCAGTTTTTTTTACGTGTCGCACACACGATCCTACAGGTTTTGAATCTCCGAAACTGGGACTGCACGCCTCGCCAACTGACTTTTCCTTTGCTCTGGTTGTAGATAATGCCGTGCCGATAAAGTCGTGGTTCTATGATCCGACAGACACGGCTCTCCTCAACATGCTACCGGTGCTTGATGCACTGCGCTTTGTGGGAGACGTACGATCCGTGCTCAGTAGAAACCTACACCTACACCGGTTATGGTAGGGGACACACAGATGGCATAGGTAAGTGTTAGAGCGATCTGTGGAAACGTAGTGGAGTTATTCACAATGTTAAAAGCTTGACTGGTGTTGGGTTAGCGTACCCAGACAGCTGTTCAGGCGATCTGTGATAACGTAGTAGGGATATTGGCGACGTTGAAAGCTTGACTGGTGTTGGGTAGAGGATGCAGCGAGTGTCGGTAAGTGTTAGTGAAATATTTGGAAACTTAGTGGAGTTATTTGTGGTGTTAAAAGCTTGACTGGTGTTGGGTTAGCGTACCCAGACAGTTGTTCAGGCGATCTGTGATAGCGTGGTAGGGATTATGGTGTCGTTGGAAGCTTGACTGGTGTTGGGTAGAAACAACAAAAATAACATATTATCAACTTGTTGTGCTAGGGCATGTGAGTAGTGTTAATCAGTGTTTTTGTCTTGGGTAGAAACCTATGCCTATGCTAATTATAGTAGGGTTATCGTTGATGGTGAAGAGGTTTCCAGTGTTGAGAATAACCGACAAAAACTGTTGTAATGTAAAGTAAACATGTCGTAAACTGGTTATGGGTGTGGTTGCGAGCTCGTAAGATGTGTGAGTGAGATGTTGGTAAGTTTTTCTGTGCTTGTTGGGAATTAGGAAAAAGTGTTCAGTGTTGCGAGGTACTCTCAAGCGAAAGTCTGATTTTAAAGTAAGGTTCGCTTCCATTTGATACCTTCATTGCTGCATTTCTGCTTCTCCGCGTGTCTGCATATCTGTGGGCTTGTAAGTGTCTAGCGGTGAACCATTTCATTTATTCGATAAGCATGGTCTGACGTTGTGTAAAAAAAATTGTTTCCAGGTGTCACAAGATGGTTCGCCTCTGTGTCTAGGAGCAAATGAGGAAAAGGTGTTCCCTGTAAATAGCTCACATTTTTTTATACGTCACTGTAAGTAATACCGCACCATGAGGCACTCCACGTGAGAGAGAGAGGAGAGAGAGAGAGAGAGAGAAGATCAACGACAACCGGTGATCGTGAACAACGTGGCGTCGACTCGCACCGATCGATCGGCAGCAAAGATCGCCGCCGCCGCCTCCTGCCTGGTGCTGCCATCTGGTGGCCAATTTACACGTTATAGTCTTGTACAGGTGATTGCGATGAGTTTACGGATTGCAGCTGAATCATGTACTGCCATATTTGGTCTTAGGTGATCGCCAGGGTTCGTGTGTAACAGCTGAGCTTGTTTGGAGTCTTGTAGCGTCGTTGCCAGATCTACCTGTGATACACCGAAACGACGCATAGAGTAACTACGGTGTTTGCATCTGACTTCTGTCCCGCGACGGTCTCCTTGAGAAAGTAACAGCACGACATTGAACCAAGTTATCCTAACCAGGCTACGCCTGCACGCTCAAGGCAGTGAGCACTGCGCGTTTCAGCAGCTCAAGTTTACTGTTTATTTCTTCTGCATATCTAGTTCCGGTTTAATCGGGATCTTTTCGTCTATTGTTTATTTTCGCTCTTGCTTTTGATTTTACTAGCATTTTCTCTGGTACACGACTCTTTTGGCGTAAACGTGGAAAGTTTGTTCAGCGGCATTGTGCGTGGCTGCAAGTGTCTCTATGGTGAAAATTCGGTGACGGTTGTCGGTAACTTGTAAAATCTATGTTGCGCCTCAAAGGCAACAGACTACCAATAACCAATTTATCTTAGTCGCCACATTGATAGATCATGGGAAAAAATCGGGAGGATTTAAAGTTGTTGTTTCATTTCTGCTTCGTTAAGTACTGCTCAAATTCACGGAGTAAGATGGTGATAGTTGTGATTGTCACTGTGCAACACTGTCATTGTATTGTGGTGTCAGCTGGTAGGAAATTTACATTTTGTTTTGAGTATTTGCTCGTTGAGCCTATTTGCTTGTAGGCGGTGAAGACAACAATATACAAAATGCAATATATATTTTGCCCCAGCACAGAGAAGCATTACTAATAGCAGTATTAGCTTACTCTACCCTGAAATCTGAATTTAATACGATTTTTTAACACCACAATCGCCATGTTTGTGTGATACCAAAAATATATATCTCTACTAAAAATGCATGTTACTCCACCTCACGAAAATGTGCCCATTACAAAAAAGATATACAATTGGCTATTAAAATGAGCATATTTTGTATCTTTTTCAACCATAGACTTTCATTAGCAGCAAACGTATCTTTGCTGCAGCATGTTCAGGTTTTAAACAGACGTATTGCAGTTTAATGAGGTGCTGGTTCCTTGCCTTTTCTCTGCTAACTTGCAGTCAATTAATATTGGCAGATACATTTCTATCCTGAGAGCATTGCCTTATTTAGGCCAAAGGGTAAAATAGGTAAAAATTTGTCTATTATTATAATTTCAAAAGATTGATTGAAACTTAATATATTGCAATAAAAAAATTCCCGTTTATGTAAAGTCTGCGGTTAACATGGGCGCCAAGAGAGTGCACGTTTCGTTCGTACATTTTGGTAGACACGACTCTGAAATGAGCCTGTTTTCATAATTTGGCAGTTGTGGATGTTTTTTTATAGGACGTTTGTCTTATTTCAATGGACATAACGGTGTTCATATCTCCCCCCCCCCACACACACACACCTATATCTTTTTCTATAAAAACGGTTGCTGTATGATTAGGGTGTCGCTTTGAGGTAGGGTGATCACCTTTGATGGAAATTCCTGGATAGAGCATTGCTTACTGGTAGGTCATGAATTTCCAAAGTAATAGACCTGCTGATCGGAAACATTGTGAATAGAAATGAGTACAGAGTGCCATAAACTTTGTGCTTCACTACAAAACTTATGATATTTTATGACTCATGATGTCATATGTCTTTATGATGCGTCTGACAGTGGGTGCTTGTTCTTTACGGAAAGCAGATATGTCATAAAAAAGCAATAGCTAAATATATTCCACAAAGTAACGCTCGTAGGGTCTATGTCCCCCTGACGTCTGTTTGACCTGGCTCGTTTAGCTATTTCTGACTAACACTAACCCTAACCCTATATATATTATATATTATATATATATATATATATATTAGTCAGAAATAGCTAAACGAGCCAGGTCAAACAGAGGTCAGGGGGACATAGACCTTATCTGCCATAGTAACGAATAGCAGAGGTTGGTGTGACGTTTGCTCATGATAATATTAAATTCACTCTGGTAAGATATTGTGTTAAGTTTTGTATTGGATCTTTATTGTGAGGATGAGTGATATTGAACTACGTTATGTGTATATATGCAAAAAAGAGTTAATTCTAGTGTGGCTGCAAATTCTATGTGAACTCAATTGGGGTCGGTTAAATAGTGAAATCAACACAAATAAAATCACGTTGGGTTAGGCACACATTGGCTGCTCCAATCCAGCCACATGTCATTCTAGGACGGACAGGTTCTAGTCTCTGTTATCAAGGAATGTGCAGTAGGCGTAGAAATGTCGTGAGGTCTCGCATGAAATACATTGCATAGTACACCTGCCAGTACAAGCAGAGAAAAGTGAGCGTAACAACTGGGAGAGTATTTGACAGCGATGTTGTGAGACTGTTGATTGGGTATTCGGTATCATTGTATCACTATTATAATGAGTTCATCGGATTTTATCGAAATGTGAGAGTACATTTATTTTATGATAAATCCATGTAAATATTCATGTATATATGGTTAATTACATGCATTTATCATAAAATAAGTTGTAATAAAAAAATAAATAGTCATTAATAAAGGGTTTTGTCAAGCTTGTTCTTCCACGTAACAAAAAAACCATATGTTATATAAATCCGTGTTAAGCTAGATTTGAGCTGTTTCAATGGGAATCCCAGATAGACCAGTGCCGTATTTTGTGACCAGGTGGCAGAACGTGTTTTTTATGTTGACGCAGCAAAATTGCCAAACTCCACGACAGATGGCGCTCTCGCTCAATTCGCCACTGCCACAAGCAAACTGCATGCAGTGCCCATTCGTACACTCATGATATCACCAGAGCATATAAATCAAGGAATAAAAACAATGAACAATTTGATAAAATAGTGATACGAAATGGTACGCGTATATTGTGCGCCCACTTACCTCCTTCAAATCATACCCAGTTTACGAATCTCCATTCGCTGGATTTCCCCGGAGCTCCGCCCACTTTAAAAATAGTGCTAGCATTGTGGCAGTGCTATGGGCAGAGGTATCCTGAGTGTACGAAGGGGCACTGCATGCAGTTTGCAAAATTGCCTGCTGTTTTCTGAATATGTCTGTACGATGTACACTAGCACCCCGTGACCCGCACCAGTGACAGTGCTGTGACAGAGCGCTAGTGCCTCTGGTCACTTACACTGTTACTACACTGTAGATTACATTTTTATAGAGTTTCTACGTGTCCACAGATAGTTTGCATGCGTACGTGACACGATGTTGTACTTACAGGCGTCGTTTTTTTTTGGGGGGGGGGTGGATCGTCGGAGAATGAATGTATTACGGATCGTTTGTGTACTTTTCTTACGTTGGGCAGCAATGCACCGTGTAGACAGACAGACATGCGCTCGCATCCTAGATGAAAAATGCTGGCTTGGTTTATTTCATGTTTGTTTTCGGGATGGATCTTCAGCGATAAGCTTCATCATTCTGTTCTTCCAGTTGACCAAACCTATGACCAAACGCTCACGCGAAAGTCTGAATGCGCGTCTATGGCAACCAGACTTTGCAGCATTCTGTTCTTTGCTGTCGAATTTTATGTTAGTATCCACCCGGTTACACTGACTACTCTCTTCTCGCGCAGAGGTTTGTAAAATTAGCAAGAAGTGCAGTGGTGAACGGAGAAGGGGGGCACATGAGCTTTCATGATGAGCATTTACGTTTCTGTGGGTGCGTCCCTAGTTTCGGTCCCTGAAAAAAAATTGTGAATTCGAATGGCGTAGACTCTGATGACGTTCCACCTACAACGACGTTTCGTTTCCGGTAGTTTTTGATTTTCCTTTGGCGATGATAGGTTTTTAAATTTTCTATTTGAATTGATTTGGATCTTAACGCGGCCTGGTTGCCGATGTCGTATGTTTCCTGTCTGTATTAATTTTGTATCGATTGTCATTTAGTGGATTGTTGCCAGGGTCATGGGAGATATGCATCTGGTGTTTGTTGATTTTCATTATTTTGGTTGGATATTTTAGTTAGTGGAGTATAAGGTGCAGAATTCAGAATGAAAGAGCCCCGTGTATCTGTGAAATATATTCTGTGTAAAACACAGTGTCTCCGAAACTGTAAATGATGAGTTTGTAAAACAAAATAAAATAAGTTGCAATGACTATTTTAAAAGTAATTGTTGAATATTTTTTGTGTGTTTCGCGTTGACTATTACATGACTTGAGTGAATATTTTTAACAAATATGTCAAAACACATGTCACAATGACCAATTTAAAATTGGTTTGTTATTTTAACGATGATAAACTTGTGTAGACAAAACCAATCACAGTTGTAGAGCGTAATATTCGAACAACATATTCTACAGTACTCTATGAGATAATTGTTGAATTAAAATATTCAATTAATAATTTGGTCTTTGTGATCGGAGATAATTGACCGATGCGTGGGCATTGCATCTACATCAGTACACCGTGTAGCTCTACTTCTAATGATTTCTCGGACAAAGTCAAAGATTACATCAGGAGTAGAGTATGATTTCCATAATTTTGCTCTTCTGCCCACGATAATATTTCCCTCATCATGAACCTACATTTTTAAGTTCGGACTCTCATCATATCGTTATAACCTTCTATATCATTAATTAAATCCCTTAGGTATGAATATTTGGTGCATTTTTTTAATACTTGCCTATTAAATTCTCTATCTTTTCTTTGTTTGTGAATGTTATAACCATTGTATTTGTTTTGTTCATATTAAATTCGAATCTTTTTGATTCAGCTAATCTGGAGAATGACTGACCAATTTTTGTTACGGTTTTATAATCTCCAATTCCTACAATATCGTCAATATATAATCATTGTCATCTTCTAAAACGACAGACCATCCGCTGACCGCTGTGGAGACGTGCGCCGGGCCTCGAATTTGGCGCACGTCTCCACTGCGGGCAGCGCTGCATACTTGAACATCCCCGCGGTCGCGTGCGCATATCCCGCGGAACTGCGCGTATCATCCGCGCGCAGCGCTCAGGATCTACAGCAAAGCTGTGCCACGCAATCTTGTATCATGTCTCTCTGGATTACATCTACATCATGAAGAATTTATCGTATATAATAGTCGGCAGAGGGCGCTCCTGAGTTAAAGTACTGGAAGTTCCATCATCGACCAAGCGCTAAATGAGGATCAATATATCAATCATATACGGGATATAATATCGTACATGCAATATATCCGCTTTAAAATGTATATCGTAACGCATCTTTAAATTGACTACGTCACGAATTTTCTATGGTAAAATTTGTAAAAATGTTGTTGCCATTTTTTTACATTAAAAGTAAGAACTAACGGGACTAAACGTATCGTCAAATTCTTACCTGATAAAATTGTTTCTCAACTAGTTAAAAATTCAAAAAACCTGGACGATTTGATATTAGTGTTCCTGATAAATCGAACAATATAGTAAAATAAGAAGTATAATGCAGCAATTTAACCATAAAAAGTGAACAGAATTACTTATATTTTGTGAAAAAATTGAAATATTTTTTTCATTTTTTACTATTTACGGTGACGTAATCAATAAAATTGGATGAAAAAGTACGTGTTTATTTATCTGACTATTATATTATAGATAGATATATTCAGGAGTTAATAATGACAAATTTGTCATTATTAACTCCTGATATATTCAAGCTTGCGTTACAAAATACATTTTAAAGTGGACCAGGGTTATTTATGAACTCACTAAGGTGTATGATCATGTGACAACAGATTTGAAGCAGCATGACAGTCTTTCGCGTAACTGAACAGATCCCGATTGTATTCACGATTCGGTTTATGGGGGCAAGCTAATATTTTGCGAGGTACATTCACGTCAGGAAGAATGGGTGATAAATGCAGAAGTTAGCGTCTTATCAAACCAAATAAATTGCCAACATGGAATAAAATATCCACGTTACCATATATAGGCCTACATACCTGTGGAATATAATTATAATGAATTTAATTATATATTATGATACAAAATAATCTAAATAATATATTATATAATGCGCATAATGCTACCCGTTACATTATACACAAATATACATATCGCGAAATTGATTCGAATTAAATTACTAATCGCGGATTTATCGTGCACCTCTCTCTTCACACCTTCCCCGCTTACGTCTCCACCTATCCCTCCGCGAACAAACTTTTTGGTATGGTCTAAAACTTTGGACCAATCGCGAGCGAGCTGCGTAGCGGCGCAGCCGTCTGCGTGGTCGTTGATGTCTGTACATCTGTAGATGAATGAGCACGTGTGTGTGCAGTGCAGTGCAGTGCGTTAGCTCGGCGAGGCTGTGGTTATTGACAACTCTCTCTCTCGTGTTTACAATCTTTACATGAGTGTGTTCGCTCGAATAAAGGTACGTTCTATACTGTTGTAATCTTATGATAACATCATAAGTGTGTGGGTGGATGGAAGTGGTGTTGGGTATCGCTAGCTGGCAGCATATCGTGATGACAGTAAATGGCAACTATGACAATGTCAGTCATCTTGTACATTTCATTGACGGTATCGGTAGTAGCATCGATGCACAGGTGCTTGGAGCGTTTCAATAAAATATAATGCTAAATAAATACGAAATCTATTTACTACCAAAGTCTTAATGTTTCTCTACTCTCTTTCTATATATATTTATGTGTCAGTGTGCAGCAGCTAGCGTGCGGCGGCCAGTGTGTGTTGCAGATGAGCATTTGGACGGCATTTACAGGAAATTGTCGGCAATAATACTAATAGGTGAAAGAGAGTAGAGAAACATTAAGACTTTGGTAGTAAATAGATGTATTTAGCATTATATTTTATTGAAACGTTCCAAGTGCCTGTGGTAGCATCAGCATGCCTGGATTGGCAAGTCATCGAGGCAACATGAAATGTGCTGTGCACACCGTACGGTTGGTTGGTTGGTTGCAGACCGCAGCTTGATGACTAACAAATATCGTTATGTATTTATAATCATTCTTAACCCTACGGCCTACCAGGCTGCGAGACTAACGTAAATACAGAACGGTTATTTCTATCTATGTCTGTTGATTGTTGATAAAATATATTTGCTCAATTCTTCTTTCGGGGGCTATCGAAAAGGTCGTTCGGTATCTGAACATTTCTTGAAAAAGACATCGTTCCATTTAGTGTCATTTGCATGTAATGTAATGGTACGTATATAATTGATCATCTTGATGAAATGACAGCAGACAAACCAAAAGGCAGCCAAGTCAGATTGTTTATCTTCTTCCTTCTAACATGGTAAATATATGATGATTATACTGTACATATAGCTGGCTACATAGCCATATAAATATATGTTATTTTGCAGGACACAGTAGAAGACAGCAAGGACGTGTTATCATACAAAGCAAGACATTTATGCGTCCATTGATAAAGAGAGGGAGCGGGAAGAAAGACTGAGGGAGAGCGAGTGTGTGAGGGAACGAGAGAGAGAGTGTGACTGAGAGAGTGAAGGAGAGAGAGAAAGAGAGAGAGACAGAGAGAGAGAGAGACAGAGAAAGAGAGAGAGAGACAGAGAGAGACAGAGACAGAAAGAGAGAGAGAGAGAGAGAGAGAGAGAGACAGAGAGAGAGAGAGAGACAGAGAGAGACAGAGACAGAGAGAGAGAGAGAGAGCAAAAGCAAGAGAGAGAGAGAGTACCACTGTCTTCTGCTTGTGTCTGAGAGAGAGAGAAAGAGAGACAGGGCGAGAAAGAGAGAGCTCAGGAAAAAGAGCGTCAACGTCTCCCGCGCTTCTCCGCGATGGGAGTCGCCACGACGACGATCGCCCGACTCTTCCTCCTCCCGCTCCTCATCGCCGTCCACGGCAACCGCGCCCTCCGCTGCGACGAGGGACCGCTCGAGCGCCGCGAGGAACAAGCGAACATCGTTCTGACAGGCACCGTCGGCAAGCTGTATGGCGACCCGGCTGGTGGCAAGTACATGTGCGAGGTGGAGGTGAAGCGTGTCTTCAAGGGTCGCGGCGACGTCTTGAACCTTCTTGAGGGGCCGCAGCACAACACGATCATGATCGGCGGCTTCGGAAACCCGGCGCTGTGCCACAGCGACGTGCGCGAGCGCGACACGCGGATATTCCTGCTCGCGAAGGACGGCAAGAGTCTGAGTCTGAACTCGAGCCTCGTCAGGATGACGCTGAACAACCTGAAGCATTCCGAGGCGGCGGTCGAAGGTAGGGATTTTTCTTTTTTTGCACTGACAAAGCATTGTTTTCGTCTTCTGCGCTGACGAAGCATTGTTTTCGTCTTCTGCGCGGACGAAGCATTGTTTTCAGACACGTTTAACAAAAAAAATTACTGCATGAGGTGAGATTTACGCACCGAGTGATGCATCTTGCGCAATTAATTGAACAAAATTCAACATTAATCAATTAATCTGAATCAAACTCGATCGATCGTTATCTAGCACAAGACTCTTTGTGAACTCCAAAAATACCAAAAATTTGTGAATGCAAGGGACTGTGGTAATCCCTATTGAATCAGGGCTTCAAGAATCCAGGGTTTATGTTTGTGAACCATATGTCAAGCTATGACATGTATTTCAAGCATCTACAGGGTTCGTCAACATTTCACAGTTTATTGATTTGCATGAATGGTGCCGGTTGACCAATGTCTTGGTTTCCTATAAAGGAATCATTGTTTGTTGATGTATCCACATGCATATAAACACTTCAACTGACAGGAGCGTTTGTGAGAGAAGGTAGGGGAGGCCGTGAAGGAAGAGGAGGGCAGAAAGTAGGAGAGAATGAGGAGGGGAGAACATTGAGGAGGGAGAGGTGGAGGGGAGAAAAAGTGGGGCTTTCTCTAGTTTTTCCGTTGTATTGTTTTATGTTGTGTTGCTATTATTCAATAACAATGTATTCTCCATCTATATGCCATTTTCCATGCCCGTAACGCCCGTGGCTAGAAAGGGATTACTGTTCTAGGTTGGCTATAGTCACTCTACTACACCAGTAGAGATAAATCTGTGCTAAAAACAAAAAATGAGATTGGCTATAACTAACTGTAAAAGCGCTTTGTATCGTTGCTTTGTACCTTCGAGGTGAGACACAGTTATTGAGACACATAGTTAGAGACATATATTGCGTTCACACGAATAGAGACATATAGTTATTGATATTGGTGCAGACAAATCATAATACATCTTGTCTACATTGTGTTACTTTCTGATTTTTATCTGGTTGCTATAGGCGCCAATAAATGATAGCCGAGACCTCTTCATACTTCACAACACTGTCGGCATATTATTTATGCAAGCATTAGTAACACCGGGAGTGTCATAAAATTTAAATATATATATATATATATATATATATATATATATATCAGGAGCTAATAATGACAAATTTGTGACTAATAATGACTAATAATAAATACTAATTTGTCATTATTAGCTCCTGATATTATCAAGAGCAGATAAAGAAGATATAGAGCAGATATTATGACACTCCTGGTAACACATGTTATATCGCCATAGTATCGTAGCCAATACATTCCAAATTCCCACGGAGTGTGGAAAGCCATATAGCAGTGCAACTGATATTGATCATATCAAGAGCTAATAAATACCTAGCAAATAATAGATGTTTATTAGCTCTTGATCATATCAGTAGTGAATAAAAACAATTGTTTTCGTTCACTTCTGATCGTGTGTGGAGATTATTTTGAACAAATAAATTATGTTACTATGATAACAATCATTAATTCGTAGTACCAAGCGTATTACGTCAGTTAGGCCCTTTCGAGATAACATGAAATTTGTCTGTGTTCTTGAGTCTATTCTTATTTAGTTCTAAAGCAGACTAAAAAACGATAGTCAACATTTTTTTGCAGTAATCTCTTTCGTGGGGTTTATGCCCGAGTGAAGTATAAACGTATACGTTCAATACGTATGACGTATGGTCCCAGGTGTGCTTGCAGCCGCATGGATCCGGTGTGTAGAGATAACTACTACCCCCAAACCTAATCTGCCCTGACTCTCGCTAATAGCTCGTCTCTTTGCAGCCCAGTCTGCCAGGTAATCCAACGCTCTGTTGTGCTGGGCTCACTTACGTACCAACCCATGAATTACCGTCGGCGCGCGAGGGTGTATCAATTTGTTTAACCCGTTCATGTCCGCCTGCCTCCCTCTGTTGGGATATATGTCTAAATTATCATCCGTACCCCACTATTATTTCTATTGTGACATCACAATAAGCGAATAACCCCACGTAGTGTGACGGAGCAGCAATGCTGCCCAGCAAGACTACCAAGGTTGGTTGTAACCGTAGGTTGTGTGGTTTTTCTAACAACGTAGGCGTACACGTATGAATGTGCAATTATCGCTCACCTGCGTACTTGATAGATACCTTCAAGCACCTTCAAGAGTCAATAATAGAAAATAATAGAAAAAGAATATATTTTATTATGGACTCTTGATACGTTCGATTGAGTATATCCCTCACTTGAAGTGATAACGAATTAGACATTTTGTAATAGCGCTGAAATTCGGAGCCAGTGTACATCGTGGATTCGCTGAGATGTAGATTTGTCTGGCTGTAGTATAGGCGATGGTGTTAGCATACTAAGTACTGCCAATTGGTGGTCGGCTCATTGTGGGTAGCTACAGGAGGTAAAACCACTAAGACCGCGTTCTTACCGTAAATGCCCCGTGAGCTTTCAATGGCAATCGGTCAAGATGAATAGCGAGTGGTCAACTGGTCGCACAATTTAGGATTTAGCGGTCGCTTTGCCCTATACCAGATACACGCGCGTTTCCTCAAATAGCACAGGTCTGCGTGGTGTTCCCCAAGCCCCGAGCATTGGGTTTTGACGCTGCATTTTATCTCGAATCTGCCGTTTTTTGCCTTTAAGCTTATTCAATTTAACACATTACCTAGTTACTATACATACTCAGATCCATCGTGTTCAAATAACGTTGAGATTCAAGAGCAGCGCCAGTGGCGACGTTTTACTGTGCAGACACGATATGACGTAAAGGCTGTTGAATGCGCTTATGCAAAACACGATGTGTATCAATCGCGGTTCTTGTGCTCCGCGTAAAATCAGCAGCAGATTGAAAGATGGCAGGTGCCGCGATCCGTGAATTCGTGCGTGCAGGTGTATTTTTGTTGTGCGTTCACTCGCGTAGAAATGTGCACTTGTCTGCGCATTCCTACTATCTAGAGCAAGCTGCATAGAAGGAGAGGGGAGAGGGCGAGAGATTTGAGAGAAAGAGAGAGGGGAGAGGGCAAGAGATTGAGAGAAATAGAGAGGGGGAGGGGATGGAGAGAGAAGGGGAAGGAGTAGGAGAGACAGAGACAGAAACAGAGAGACAGACAACGTGAGAGAGAGAGAGAGAGAGAGAGAGAGAGAGAGAGAGAGAGAGAGAGAGAGAGAGAGAGAGAGAGAGAGAGAGAGAGAGAGAGAGAGAAGAGAGAGAGTAGAGA